AAAAATTCAACAAACTGAGTAAAATTCGGTCACTTAAATCCATTCCGTTTATAGGGCGACATTACAAAATTGATTGAAGGTGATATTTAAGCACACTTAAATACAATTCGGATAAATGTGATCAAATTGAGATAGCCTAAATAGTTTGCCATTCATCACCAACAGCTTTATGAAGCTTCAGTTGGTTACAATGATAATAAGTCAGCAATTGTAATTTTTTCTTGAAAAGCTTACTTTCTGAAAAATTAAAGAGCTCTTGGTTTAAAAAAACAAACGTTAACAAATCATCGTTTTAACTTTAAGCATCAGATTAACAAATCTTATGAAATGTCAATTGCGTGTATTGAATCAAATTAAAACTAGCCAAGAAGCCATTAATGGATGTTTCCAGCAGTAAAGTGTTTTTGGCTTAGAAGACTATGGGCGTTAACAAAACATCGTTTTACCTTCAGCATCAGTTTTAACATCAGATTTTAGCTTTACATCAGACTAATTACCGTAGTTTGATAACATTACAAAGAATAAAGTTTTTGAAAAATGGTGCTTATTGACAAAAAAAATTAACTAGAAAAATTTCATCAAATATTATGAAACGTCTATTGCGTGCTTAAAATTAAATTCAAAAATAGCCAAAAAGCACAGAATATGAATAAGTCAACAAATGACATTTTTTCTTGGAAAGCTTACTTTTTGAAAAATTAAAGAGCTCTTGGTTTAAAAAAACAAACGTTAACAAAACATCATTTTAAATCTAAATATCGCATTAACAAATCTTATGAAACGTCATTGCGTAATTAGAGTCAAAATCAAAACTAGCCAAAAAGCCATTAATGGATGTTTTCAGCAATCTAGGGCTGTACAATCGTAGGTTTTGACAGTAACTGAAAAATTACAAAAGTCGAAAATTGAGATATTCGAATTGAGCCAGCACTTAGGACGAGACAGTCTCATTCAGAAAAAATCGTCCATAAAAATTAAATTTGTTAAAATTTACTGCGAAATCGTCCGTCTAGAAACTCGATTTCAAACTTTTAGACAATTAGATGAATAGTAGTGTTTCAAGCTCGAGTTGAAAATGCTTTCTTTTTTAACCTCTAAAAGCTTGTTAACATTTGACTGACCAACTTAACAAAACTTCTTAGGATGATTTGGTTTCATGCTATCTATAACAACAAAATATGTTATAATCAATTGTGATAGAGTTATTAAGATTGAGAATAATCGATTAAACTCCTTTATTTCTCCATTAACATAGTGAAATGGGTCATGAAAACTGATTATTTTCGTGAAGTTTTTTGCCGATATAAGCCAATAAAATCTAACAGTTCTCACAAAACGTTGCTTTTCTTCTTTCGACATTTCATATTTGTTTCGGCCTGCTATTTAAGGAAAACTGAAATTCAATCTTATTGATTATTTGAGAACAAAAGTCAACATTTGTCAGAGAAAAGAAGGAAAAATTATCAGGGTAACTTTTTGGCTGTTCACCGGATTTTAGAAAATCTGTTCCGTTTATAGGGCAAAAATTATTTCAAATTTGATTTAGGGTGAAATTTGAGCTAGTTTAAGTTAAAGCACTTTGGAAAAAGGTGACCAAAATGAAATAGCCTTGATCGCTCGCCATTATCTACCTACAGCTTCATGAAGTTAAGCCATATTAAGCTAAATCAAGCCAAGGCCAAGTTAAGCTTCATGAAATTAAGCCAAAACGTATCAAGCCAAAACAATTAGGAAAAAATCAACAGTCCGAGTGGTAAAAATCCAAAAACACAATCAACTTAAAAAGTGCGGATGAGAGAATAAAAACTGTGTTTCCCCTGAAACGAAGCACAAGCGGTCAAGTTGATAAACAGTAGGCTGAAAAAAATTGGGCCGAAAAAATTTTTAACCGAAAAAAAAGAAGAAAATACGAAGTCAAGCCAAGTAGAATTACAAATTACAGGAATGCATCAAAGAATAAAAGCCAGTTGGAACAAAAACGCACGTAACGAAACAAATAATTCCAAAATGAGGCAACTAAGCCGACAAATAATCGGCCGAGAATTTTATTTGAAACGCAAATACTCCCGGAAAATGTGTTCCTGGTCCGAATTGAACCAAGGACATTTGCCAGGCATATAACTTTCCTCCAGGCTAAGTAGGCCACAAAATCTCAGGACTTTGAATTAAATATGAAACAAGTCACCACGAGAGATGAGTCCAATGAAAGACTAAGAAACTGGTGTTCTCGCATCAATCAATTGTCAATCAGCGGATATCAGCCATCAATAAGCAAATACAACACATTCTATTTAACTGATAATGCTAAAACACAGAAGTTTTTGATAAAAACAGGAATTGAATCGACGACCTGCAGATTAAAAATCTCAAGTTCTCAGACTTGCGCCTTATTCGATTTTAAATCAGCCAGCCTTTCAACCAATGAATCAGCAAGCAATCGAACCAAGGACAATACATCAGAAAAACGGAAAACTAAAAACAAGTGCCACCAAAAGAGCCAACAAATGAGCATTTTGATTTCCGACTTAGCTTTGAAAAAAAGCTCGTTATAATACACAACTCTTCGATGGTGTTTAATAAAGTGAATCAGCTGTCAAGTTTAAGATAAATTTAGTAATATTTTTGACTGGAGAGTTGTCCGTCTAGAAACTATGATTCAAACTTTTAGACAATTAGATGAATAGTAGTGTTTCAAGCTCGAGTTGAAAATGCTTTCTTTTTTAACCTCTAAAAGCTTGTTAACATTAGACGGACCAACTTAACAAAACTTCTTAGGATGATTTGGTTGATTAGGTTTCATGCTATAATAACAACAAAATATGTTATAATCAATTGTGATAGAGTTATTAAGATTGAGAATAATCGATTAAACTCCTTTATTTCTCCATTAACATAGTGAAATGGGTCATGAAAACTGATTATTTTCGTGAAGTTTTTGCCGATATAAGCCAATAAAATCTAACAGTTCTCCCAAAACGTTGCTTTTTTTCTTTCGACATTTCATATTTGTTTCGGCCTGCTATTTAAGGAAAATTGAAATTCAATCTTATTGATTATTTGAGAACAAAAGTCAACATTTGTCAGAGAAAAGAAGGAAAAATTATCAGGGTAACTTTTTGGATGTTCACCGGATTTTAGAAAATCTGTTCCGTTTATAGGGCAAAAAATTATTTCAAATTTGATTTAGGGTGAAACTTGAGCTAGTTCAATTTAAACCACTTTGGATAAAGATGACCAAAATGAGATAGCCTGAATTGATCGCCATTATCTACCAACAGTTTCATGAAATTAAGCCAATTGAAGCTAACTTAAGCCCAGTTAAACTTCATGAAAATAAGCCGAAACCTATCAAACCAAAAAAAAAGAAAAAAAAACTCAGCAATCCGAGTGGTAAACTTACAAAAATACAATCGACTTAAAAAGTGCGGAGGAGAGAGTAAAAACTGTGTTTCCCCTGAAACGAAGCACAATCGGTCAAGTTGATAAACATTAGGCTACAAACATTTGTGCCTAATAAATTTTTAACCGAAAAAAGAAAATACGAAGTCAAGGTAAGTAGAGTTACAAATTACAGGACTGAATCGAACAATAAAAGCAATATGAAACAAAAACGCGCGCAACAAAACAATCAATTCCTAGATGTGGCAACTAAGCCGACAAATAATCGGCGACAGTTTTATTTGAAACGCAAAAATTCCCGGAAAACATTTTCCTGGTCTGATTCGAACCCAGGACATTTGCGTCCCAGGCATGTTCGTTACCTTCAGGCTAAGTGGGATAAGGAAGTATGATTTAATTATGAAACAAGTCACCAATAAAGATGAGTCCAATGAAAGATTAAGAAACTAGTGTCCTCGCATCAGTCACTTGGCTATCATTAAACAGTAGCCATTAATAAACAAATACAACAGATTATACTTCATTGGCAATGCTAAAACAATGAAACTTTTGATAAAACAGGATTTTAATATCACGACCTGCAGATTTACAGTCTCAATTTTTCAGACTTGCGCCTTATTTGAATTTAAATCAGCCTGCGTTTCAAACAATGAATCAGCAAGCGTTTCAAATGATGAAAATTTCGTTTTGAAGCTACTTCAAAAAGTATTGGTTTCGGAAGATTTCAGGTTAATTTAAGGAAGTTTTTCAAACGGTGAAATTTTGAAATTTGTCGAGTTAATTTTTCATAAAGTGAATCATTTGGTAAGTTTAAGATAAATTTTCAAGGGATGAAACTTGAAAATTGTTCAAATTGTTTCATGGAACGATGCGCATCAAACGACACAAAACGAGAATAATCAGCCGATGTAAATTAGGCCGGAATCTATCACACAAGAAAAATCAACAAAACCGAGTGGTAAACACGACGATCTTAAAAAACAAAAGGCAGCGTAAAAATTATGATTCCCCTGAATGGACGCAACTTTGTTCACTAAATTGATGAACACTAGTCCGAAAGAAATTTGGACCGAGTAAACTTTTTTAAGCAAAGAAATACCAAGTCAATGTAAGTAAAGTTACATTTTAGAGGAATGAGTCAACAAAAAAGCATCATTAAAAAAGCGCAGCGAAAAAAAAACTATTCCAAGATGTTGAAACTGAAACGACAAAAGTCGAGCAGACATAATTGGCCGAACATTTTATTTGATACGGAATATTTCCATGAAAATAAAATATCGCCTCAAATTAAAGATCAGGACAGCAATACCTTTTGAGTGATAAAAAAAATTCCGTCAAAATTTGCTAGTTAAAAAGTCATTTCTGAAGAAAAAAAACCACCCGAGCACAAATATTCCGTTACTTTCGTTACGAAAGTCGGAACAAAAACTTCGAATACTTCTTGCGAATCTTCCACTATATGTCATGTCTGGCACTAAGTGATATTTCCCATATTCGGGTTAGATTGCTGGTTAAGAAAAACCAAGACGAGCACAAACATTTTGGCACATAACAGGACAGTCGGAACATTGAGTACCTACACTTTCTTCATGTTCCAACTGTGAAATACGTAATACTGTATTCTTTGTTATGAATTATAGCAAAATTAAATGATGAATAAACAATAACTTATCAAGTCTTGTCTTTTAGACTCCACCTTCAAGTTCTTTTGTGAAATTTCAAACGCGAACGTTTCTACAACACTGTCGCGTTCTCCCGTCTTCTTCTTCGTCTTCACCAACAAATGAGACACCAGGAGTGAACACATTTCCATGTTCACAAATACTCACATCGTCAACGTTACTCCCTGCACAATCAGATGAAAATTCTACCGAACTGTCAGACGACAAGTTTTCATTTATATTCAATTTATTCACTTCTACTTCTGCGGTGTCCTCTTCAGTTTCCCATTCCTCGCTGTCTTCGTCGCCCTGTGGGTTATCCGACGAGTTCTCACTTCTTCCTGAGGAGTTCACAGAACTCATGGTCTGTTGAGATCCACTTACAACTTCCTCTGAAACCTCGGTACTTTCTTCCTCCGTGTGCGCAGTTTCGACTGAGCGTCTTGACTCGGAACTGGAAGGAGCAGTTGCTACTGGCGTGTTGAAGGATGGGACGCTGGATACCGTTACGTTCTCTGAAGCCGATATACTAAGTAATTCGCGACTGCTCTCGAAGCCGGTGATCAGCTGACCTCCGTTGTTTGCATCGTACACAATAACCTAGATGGGTAATAATTATGTATTATACTTGTATCCGAAACCTATAAAATTTACTAAAAGAAATCAAAAAATATTTACAGGCCACGTTTCAATTACTTTGTTAATGATCGAAATTGCGAATATGTAAAATCAGATTTTCATTTGATGGGGTGGAAAAGATTCCAATAGTTGGTCGAAAAGGCACAACGTACCTCAAATTTATCAGGCAAAGTATTTATCACTTATATTTCAATTTTAGTTATTAAGTTTTACTTGGTGATAGAAGTCGATGACCTCCAGTTGCCCTTTCATTTGGATCACAATCCAGTGCATGTCCCTCTCGTCTATGGCGCCACACATTTCCAGTTTCATCCTCTGTAAGTAAGGCATGCTGAATGGGACTAGAGCGAAGTGGGTTCCTTCCAGTTTGTCCAGACCACTCAAGTCCATGTCCAGCATGTGGTGACAGTTCATGATAATCTCCACTAGACCAGAGTCATCAATCTATGGCAAAAGTTTCGGTAAGACGCTAATACTAGATGATATGGTCCAGCTTTCTTCTTATTAACACATTTCATCTCACAACTCTAAGTTCAAACACCTACTTTTATATTATGGGATCTACGATTTACTAGGATGTGTGTGCCGGGCTTTGATAGAAAAGCACCCCTAAATCAATAAAATTTTTATTGATTTGGTATAAGTATTTAGCGGTTAAGTGGCAAGCGTGAGTAAATGTACGAAGCTGGAAAAAAATTAGCACAAAATTTTAAAAGAGAGAATACATTGACTCACCAAAGTGCACCATGCTATGTGAAAGTGAGTCAACAGGGGACAGGCAGTACCAATGTCTCGCACATTTTCATTGCTCAGCAAATCACATTCGGACAGATTGAGCTTCTGCACATTCGACAGATTTCCACAGCTCGTCAAAACTCTAAATCCATTGGATGACAGAGAACGCCCTGAAAGATTGTGCAAAATATAGCCGCCATATTACTGAGAAACTATTCAAATGGAATGACTGAGCAGGGTTGGCTGAAAAAAGACATCATACGTTTAACATGTTTTAAACGACGTTTAAAACGTCTGTTTTTTTTTCACTGTATTTTTTTCATGTGTCTTTTTTCAGAATTCTACAACAATTTTTCTACATTTTCCAGCTTAAAAAAATTTGATAAATTTATTTCAATGCAGTTCGATGTTTCAGTTCAGAAACTTGCGTTTTGCTTAAGAATGCTCAACAAATAGATAATTCTTATTGAACCATGTGAATTGAATTCAAATTGTTCTAAAAAAAATGTTTTTACCGAACATCTCAATATCGGTCTGTTTCTGAAAAAAGACTGTGTATAAAACGTCTTTTTTCAAAAAAAGACACTTTTTGACCAACCCTGTGACTGAGCGTTTCCATTAGCGTTGATTGCACATATTCCGAGAAGAACCTTTGAACTTGAAACAACTAAAACCCCCATGAAAAGATTTGCGCAAATACACCAAACCAAATTTGTAACACCCTATTAGCTAATAGAAATTCGTCGAACAGGCGGTCAGCGATGTAAATCTGGATTACAATGGCAACAAAACTGTGTTGATCATATATCGCTTCCTTTGGTGAAAAAAAATAATTAAATGCTAGTTTTTCAATTTCGATCGAGGCAAACTAAACTACCAAAAGCTAATGAAATAGAGCTGTGACAGAATTGTTAGAGGCCTACTATACCCTTTCGTAGCCCAATTTCTTCCAAACTGGTGAGCTGTGCCAGTTCGGGGAAAATGTTGTCGGACAAGGAGGAAGCGAAGTCGACTATTAAAGCTTTCAGCTTCACACACTGGCAAAAGTAAACAATATCAATTATATTATGCTTTATGCACCTACCTAAATCTAGGGAAGGCATTAGTTTTTATTTTTATCTCCAACAAGGTTGAATTTTAACGGGGAACTGAAATACGAACTTTACAAAGATACCAATGAAACGATTATTATTTTTATAAAACCATCGAGAAATTAATTGCATCAAAAGTACGATATAAATAAAATAAATTTCTAAATTTCGACAAAGATGAAATTTGGAAGTACGGGTATTTCGAAAACTCCAGAATCGAACTTTAAAAATAAAACTCAGAAACTTGCAGCAAAGCAGCAAAAAAACGAACGAAAGAAAGTAAGAAAACGATCATAACTAACAATCAAGCAACCAAAAACCTGAGAAACCAGACCAAACAAGAAAACATCTAATTATACCTAGGTATGCAGATTATGATGAGCTATAGATGTGTGACTAAATTATAAGAAATCAATAGCGAGCAGATATCTGGAAACAATTTCGGAAGAAATCTGGATCACTGGAGCGAGTGAAGAACAGCATATCAAGCTATCTCAAACTTGTAACTAACCAAAATGGCAATAATGACTGCTCATCTAACGGGTTCGACGCGAAGAAATCAGAGAGTAACTTCGAAAAACGTTTTTCATATAATCAATCCCCTTTTCTCCCTCAAACAAAATCCCGGGTACTATGACCCATCGGAAGCTTCTAGAAAGGATTTTATTGCAAACTTAGGGTTAGGCATCAATATAAAACTGGTGCATGACTTTTAGTGCAACTTAATACACTTCTCCAAAAACAGCTAAAACCCAGCAGCTATCAATTTGTTTCAAAACAGATATACAATTCTTCCGAATTAGTTTTGTGTTCTCTTGTTGCAAATCATGTCTATTGAAAATTTTGTTTTTCTTCCTGTTGCTGACGGTTAAAAACCGGTTGTCTTGTGCGGTGTTCTTTATAACTGCACTCTAAAAAGAAAAAGATGAGGCGAGTGAATTATGCGTTGTTTAAGCTTTCAAAAAAGCTTCGACATAAATTGAAACGAGAACCTTTAAGCTTCATTACTCGTAGTATGGACAGAAACAAATCAGTTCCCAATGATTAAATCACAAAATACCCAACAAAATAAAGCCAAGAGAATTGGAAAAGAGTCAGTGAACGCAAGGAACTAAAGAACAGATGACCTTAGAGCTCTTTGAAGTTCAAGAACAATTTAAGAATGATATTTTTCGATAAAAATAACCCAACTAGACAAAAGTGAATCAATTGGTAAAATTTTATTTCTGCTGGGACATCTGAGAATAAAATCCACTTTCGAAACTAGCAGTCGAATACATTTTGCGACCTTGACTTTTGCGGTTCGATAGTGGAATGCACCTTCCTTCTGACAAAGAAAGTGAACTGCACTTAGAACACAGAGAACAAGCAGAGTGGAGTTTCGCGTCACTTGCGATGCAACGCACGCATAACATTCCAAAATAGCGACTAGAAATTGAGACAGAAAAAACAATCGAAAAAAAAATAGTTTGGAAAAGGATAATTTCAGAAATACAGCCGAAAAACACAAGCACCAGTAATTAAAAAGCTTTGAGTATTTACGAAGCGGCCACTAAGCTGTCAACAAGTGGGTAGACGTCCATTGAGCGAGTGGAAAACAAAATGTAAAAGAAAATCATTTCATAAAAAAATTCAAATAAGATTTAAAATTTTTGAATCTTGCAACACAAACTATGAGAACTTTCAAAAAAAAAATCAATCACTTTTTTGCCTCAGAAGAAACACAAATAAAAGTAACTAAGCCGATGAAACATGAGCCCATACCATTTCGGCAGAATAAAGCTTTAAAGCGAAAAAAAAACTAAAGAAAACCAAGAAAATATATAACGTCAGGGCTAGCTATTATTTTAGAAATTACAGTAAATCAAAATCTGTTGCATCTACGATGAACTTAGGTAAAAGTGGAACATGATTCCCCGATTCGGCAAATAAGCCGACAAAAAGGAAGCAGACAAACAAAAGTCCTACGGTTCAATTGCATTGCAAATTTCATCCATATTGAAAAAAGGTCGGCCTGGGACTCGTATCCCAGCCCTTCGGGCACACCAGCAACCGCGTTACCTCTAAGCTCATGAGGTTCATAAATAAAGCAACTTCACAATTTCTTACTGGGTTAATTACTATCTTACCTTGCAAGTGTAAAGAAATCAAAAGTCGAACCGAGAAAAATCAAAATTCAAAATTGAGCATAAACAAATGTTAACTTTTCCCGAAAAAAATCATAACGACTTACACTACCTTTATTGACTTTTAAAAACACACATTAGCTAAAAACATATTCAGTTCAATTTTCGGCGTTGTACGAAAAGTTAATTAAAAAAACTTTTTCATGATAGCAATTTAAGAAAGCTGGCCAAAAAAAATGAAAGAAAGCTGGCCACTTCTAAGAAAAAAGGCGGCAATTATTTTACATATAAGCCAACAAGAGAGACTCTCAAACAAATATGATCTTAGCCTGTTTAATAAAGAACAATATGGCTTAGTTTGATTTGAAGAATGGTTAGTTTTAAAGTTGTGAAGAGAAAACAGAGGAAAAAAGTTTCAATTGTTTGGCAAATCAAAGAAAAAATGCGCAAACATTATCACGCCATATGGATTAAAAATTTATTGTCAAAAAATTGACACAAGACTAGACGCCCTTATGAAATCACAAATTCATTAAGCTATGAGTGAAAATACAGAAATAAAAACTTATTTCTTTTGATACAGTTCAAATTTGATCACTTTTCCGCACAGTTATATTAGATATTCATAGTCCGAAATTATTTGATTCTCTGCTTATTTGATTCTCCGAAGCATATGACAATGAAGCTTCGCTTTGACGCAATCTGAGAAAAAAACATCAGAAAACCTCTTGGACCTTTAACTGTACTTCCGTGGACCAGAGCTGATGGCAAGTGAACATTTATCCTCATTTAACATTTGCAATTATGACGATGTATTGAAGAGCTGATCATTCCGTCTGAGCTTATAAAAGCAAATATAACACCGCTCTTTAATATCATCCCCTGGATCCACAAAATGATCGAAACGTATAAAATTTTCTGATACCGTTTTTTTATGCGCAAATAACTGAGCTTTGAAATATTATCAAGTAATGATGCCTTTTGAATATGGATATCGACAAAACTTCTCAATTCAAGGTACACTTATCTTAGTCACAAAAAGTATTCGGGAATAAATGCAATCTCAAAAAATTGAACGAGAAGCTTGATTAGATCTTTCAAGGCATTTGATTCAAATTTCCCTGAAAACTTGGGGGCTAGAGTTTTCATCAAAGCAAAGCAGCGAGAAAAATTTTTTTACACACAGAGGCAAAGCTGTGCTTCGTAAACACCTGCGAGAACACGATAAAAAAGCAGCTTTATAAAGTAAAACAAGAACAAATAGAAACAAAACTCAAATTAGTAAACTTTTTACATATGGGATTCAAAACTACGATCTCGAGGTTTAGAGCCTCACGACCTTCCCTCACGGCCACGAACGCTTAACAATAAGCAAACACTCGTCACAAATAAACAGCTACGTATGCTAATAAACTGCCAATGCCATGCAGCAAATTTGGCACCAAATACAAATAGACACAATTTTGCAAGTAATAATTTGGAAAATAACAAACTGAAGGCATCCACACTAACTTTGCAAGTAAATATTATGTATAAATTATGCATTTTGAATAATTTGGAGGTAGAAAATTTTTAAAATTGAGTTTTTATCATTATGTTTGTTGAAACAAATAGCTTTTTCGGTTCATTTGGCGAATTAAAAATGCATCAACTATGTTAACCGATTACTCATGAAATGTCAAAGCACATGCTATCAAAAGGCTGTAAATGTTCCAACAAAAAAGGCACCAAAAAGCACAAGAGTATTTGATCCATTGTTGTTCACTTTATATATGAACATTATCCTTGTTTGATTTCATCTCATTTACTGTTTCTTTTCAAAAATTAAGTCTATTGATGCAAGGTCTATTGCTTAAGGTTAAGTTCAAATGTCTGGAGAAAGATTTGTACACGACTGAAGAGTAACTCAATCAAACAAAAATTCATATAGTACAGTTCATAGAACACGATATACGGCATATGACACAAACATAGCCAACTGACAGAGTTTTGAAGAAAAAATAAATGGCCCTAAGGCTCTTTCAATTTGTAGAAATTTATGTTACACACTTTTTTTGTTAAAATTAACCCAATTTGAGAAAACTGGATCAAAAGGTAAAACTTTTAGTTCGCTGGGCAATCTAATAAATAATTTCCCATTTTCGAAATTAGAAGTCCATAACGTTTTTCGTGACCTTTACAATTTCGCTGTATGATAGTGGAGTTTGCCTTCCTTTAAACAACACAAATGCACTGACTTAAAAAGAAATCACAAGTCAAACCGCGAAAAATCAAAATTGAGCCTGAACAAATTTAAAAACTTTTTCCTGAAAAATAATCAGCAAGACATAAATAAGAGTACTCACTGCGTTCTTTACTCTTAAAAGCTAAAGACTACATGAAATCTCATTGCACTTGGATGCACGCTCTCGACTTTCGGTTCAAGTCAACTAAATCCAATTTTGATTTTTGAATCCTAGCCTGTTTTTTTCGAATTTGTGTATTTCCCTCAAACCGCCTTACGCGAAAAAAACCGACAGCAAAGCCAATAATTTGGCAAAATTAGGTTCTTTTGATATACAAAATACGATACCAATTTTTATACAATTACACTGACTTAAAAAGATATCACAAGTCAAACCGCGAAAAATCAAAATTGAGCGTGAACAAATTTAAAAACTTTTTCCTGAAAAATAATCAGCAAGACCTATATAAGAATACTCACTGCGTTCTTTACTCTTAAAAGTGAAAGACTACATGAAATCTCATTGCACTTGGATGCACGCTCTCGACTTTCGGTTGAAGTCAACTAAATCCAATTTTGATTTTTGAATCCTAGCCTTTTTTTTCGAATTTGTATTTCCCTCAAACCGCCTTACCCGAAAAAAAAACCGACAGCACAGCCAA